TTTGCGGAAGATTTTGCCGATAGGGAGGAGATATACTATGAAGAGGAGGGGCCCCAGGACAGAGCCCTGGGGCACACCTGACTTGACTGGGGAGGGTTCTGAGGTAAAGGATTTTAACTGGATGAACTGAGTGCGGCCAGTAAGGTAAGATTGAAACCAGCTGAGGGGGGTGTGAGTGATGCCTAAGGAAGAGAGTCTATTGAGGAGGATGGGATGAGAAATGGTGTCAAAGGCCGCACTCAGATCGAGGAGAATAAGAATAGAGATTAAACCAGAATCAGCAGCAACGAGTAGGTCGTTAGTGATCTTGATGAGAGCTGTTTCTGTGCTGTGGTGGGGACGGAAGCCAGACTGAAACTGTTCATAAAGGTTTTTGCGGGTGAGATGTGAATGGAGCTGAGATGCAACAGTTTTCTCAAGGACTTTGGAAATGAAGGGAAGATGGGAAATGGGACTGAGGTTATTGAAATCATTGGGATCTAAACCAGGTTTTTTTAGAATAGGGCTGACTGAAGCAGATTTGAATAGGGAGGGGACCGTACCAGAGGATAGTGAGGAATGAATAATGGCTGTTATAAAAGGGAGCAGAGAAGAAAGGCAGGATTTAACTAAAACAGTTGGAATAGGGTCCAGTTGACAGGTGGAAGGTTTGGATTTGGTGATGTAATCTAATATTTCTGAGGGATGGGGAAGTTCAAAGGAGGAGAACGGAATGGTGGGTTCAAATAAATCAGGAGAGGGAGGGGAGGAATGAGGTAAAGAGAGATGGATTCTATTGACCTTCTCATTAAAAAACTGAAGGAGAGAGTTACAGGTTTCTGAAGAGTAAAGATGGATGGGTAAGGAGTCGGAAGGCTGAAAAATGCTGTTCATGATGGAAAATAATGTTTTAGTGTTGCTGGAGTTGGACGAGATGAGACCGGAGTAATACTGAGATTTGGCATGGGAGATGGAGTCCTTGTAGAGAGAATATGAGCAGAAAATAAGTCTTTATGGATGGTGAGACCGGTTTTCTTGTAGAGTCTTTCAAGCCTCCGGTTGGTAGCTTTCAAGGAGCGAAGGGCAGGGGTGAACCATGGAGCAGACCGAGTAAAATATACAGAGCGGGATTTGATGGGAGCAAATGAATTAGGATAGAAACCAGACCGTTATTGTACTGAATGACAAGATCATCGGGAGTAGAGGACAAATTAGGGGTCAGGGTGGCAAAACTGGAGGACAGGGAGGCTAGATCAATGTCCTTAATATTACGAAAATAAATGATACGTGGTGACTTGATGATGGAGAGACGGAATGGAACAGAAAAGGAGATGAGGAAGTGGTCCGTGAAAGGGAGCGGGTCAGCTGTACAGTTGGAGGGGGTCAGGCCGGAGCAGCAGATTAAATCCAGGGTGTGACATTTAATGTGAGTGGGAAAATTGGCATATTGATGAAAACTGAGGCTGTCCAAAGATGAGGAGAAGTCTTTGCTGAGGGGGAGGGCCATATTGTCCATATGAATATTAAAATCACCAAGTAAAATTACATTTGGGGAAAGGGCGGACAGATGGGATAAAAGAGCAGAGAGTTCATTTAAAAACTCAGGGCTGAACTTGGGGGGACGGTAAACAGTGACAATTATTGTGGGGGTCGGGCCGGAGAGTTGACAGGCGAGGCATTCCAGAGTGGTGAGAGGAGGAAGGTTTACGGGAAGGACCTTCCAAGTCTCCACCGCCGCGGCCCGACCCACGGGGTTTGGAGAGGTAAACAAATCCGGAAGGAGTAGTCATTGAGTTGTGAGAAATCGCTGGGTTGTTGCCATGTTTCGTTCAGACAAAGAAAGTCTAGCTTATGGTCAATGATGGTATCTTGGAGGAGATGTCCTTTACCAGAGAGGGAGCGAATGTTGAGAAGACCAAAATGAGCAGTGCGGAAGTCCCTGGCGACAGGAGCATTAGCCCGACTAGCCAGCCGGGCTAACACGCTGGAGTCGGCAGCTCGGCAGGTATTCCTGGGTAGCCGCCGGCTAGTCGTGGACCAGAAGGAGGGTATTCCTTTGGAGCCGTCGAGATGGAGGTTCCGCCGGGACCCCCGATGGATACACCGACGGCGAGGCTGGAAGGTGATGTCGGGGAAGAGGCACAGAGCTGGTGGTGGAGATCCGGAGTAGTGAAAGCGGAGGTTGAAGAGCTCCGCCGCCGAGTACTGGAGAAGGCCATCCACGGACAGAAGAATGAGCGACAGGATGATCCAGGCCAGTGAGAGGCACACAGAAATCCTGCTGGACCACATTATGGAGTGGAGCAGGGAGGTGGTGATGTGCAACCAGAACGCAAGCTGAGCAGGTAGGTGAAAATGAGTTTTCACCGACACAGGGATGTGACTAGGGTGAAAAAGAAGAAAAAAAATACAAAAAAGTTTGTTTGCCAACGAGCAGCGGCAGCGAGACGCGCCAGCGTTCACTCAACCGGAACCGGTTTTCTTTCATTGTAATATCTAAGTTGTTTTGAGCTGTGGCCACAGCAAAAACAGATCGTTAGATATTTCAGTTGTTTTTTGATTGTTTGTTTTGCTTCCTGATTCTTTGTGAAGCGGTTTTGAAGTGTCGGGTTAAGTTTTACTGTGATTGAACGTGCTTTGGAAGTTAAAGTGAAAGTTGCTCATGTACACACATGCGCACACACACACACACACACACACACACACACACACACACACACACACACACACACACACACACACATTCTGGTTTTCGGTGTTTGGGAGGACACACACATCCCACATACATTTTGGGTCCTTGCTCCCTCAGACAAAGGAATCAGCCATTTTGGGTTTTCAACTACCTCCATTTTGTTACCCCACCTATCAGATTATTATTTCACATGATCATTCCAGTGTTTAATTACTTGTTATTTGTTTGATAAAATCAGTTGGGGGGCAGCAGTAGCTCAGGTGGTAGAGCGGGTTGCCTCATGATCGGAGGGTCATGGGTTCGATTCCAGCTCCCGCCACGGGTATCCTGCTGTTGTGTCCTTGGGTAAGACACTTCACCCAACTTGCCTGTGTTAGTGGTGGTCAGAGGGGCCGACGGCGCCAAATGGCAGCCTCGCCTCTGTCAGACCTCCCCAGGGCGGCTGTGGCTACAAGTAGCTTACCATCACTAGCAGTGTGTGAATGTGAGAGTGTGTGAAAGCGTCTTTGGGTGTCTAGGAAAGCGCTATATAAGTTCAATGCATTATTATTATTATTATTATATTAATTAGCTAATGCTTTGGGAGGAGCAGAAGTGATAAAATTAGTTAATAAATGATTGCCAATTAAGTTTTGTCTCAAGTGAATTTGTTTGTGTTTATAAAATACAACTGCAGCTCGTTAAGGATTTCACGGACTTTGGAGAGTTTGATAGAGGTGTGGATTCATTTTTCCCCTGTTAAAAAGGGGTGGTGCCCCGAGGACATCCAAGGATTTCCTAATTACGTAATAAATCGGTAAATATTTCCATATTTACGAATTTATTGATGAATCCAAAAAGTAAGTAAAGCTTACAAATTATTCGTTGACTAATAATCACAACAACGGGCAGCCGTCCAGTGCCACAGGTATGTCCTTTTTTCATTCGGTTTATGGCTTTCATCCTCCTGTTTTCTCGCTTCATCAAAGGGAAGCCCAGGTCCCTGCGGCTCACGTCTCCGCACGACACTGCCTGAGTATGGAGACGGGCTAGGGCAGCTCTCTGTAAAACGTCGGCCACCTACATCCGTAACGCCAACTGCCGATGTACCCAGGGTCCCAGATATCTGGTGGGACAGAAGGTTTGGTTGCCCGCCAAGGACCTGCCCCTCAAGGTGTCCAGCAAGAAGTTGGCTCCCAGGTTCACTGGTCCGTTACCCATCACCAAGATCATTAATCCAATGGCTGTCCGGCTCCGGCTACCCTTGGCTTTGAAGGCACACCCCTCCTTCCACATCTCTAAACTGAAGCCCGCTGTCTCGTCCAGATTGTGCCTGCCTTCCAGACCCCCTCCTCCCGCCCAGCTCGTTGATGGGGCTCCTGCCTTCATTGTTCGTCGTTTTCTCTATTCCCGGAGGTGGGGTCGTGTCATGATCATGCCCTGATGTCAGTGTTTTCCTGTCTCCCTGCAGCAGCAGTAATCTAGCTGATTAATTCCACCTGTGCTGCTCCCTATTTATGCACCTGGCTCCTGCTGCTCAGTGCGAAATTGTCTGCTGCCTTGTCACAGTCTGTTGAGCGTTTGAACCTGTCTGCCTGTCTATTGCCCAACTTCCACCTGCCTGATCACGGAACCTGCCTGTCGCCTTAGTCCCTGTCCGTACCGGAGTAATCATCTTTATCAGCAGCCCTCCCCACAGTACGCTGCTGCTGTTTTCAGGAGGTCAGTCACTCTTCTAAATCATCTCCCTTGCTGACTGTTTTCTGTCTCCCAGGCCACACTGCCCGGAACCGACTCCAGCGGGTCCACATTACTGTATCAAGTCCCTAAATAAACAATTTTTTAACTTTCTCTGTTGTGTGGCAGTTGTTGGATCTGGCTGATCGTTACTGGGTCTGACCGTGACAATTTTGCTGTATTTTCTGAATGGTGATGAGAGATTTGGGACCTCTGATCGGACTCCTGAAGCACATATCTGAAGCTTTTTCATTAATTTCACTGAAGCTGTGTAATCACACAGCTTCAGTGAAATTAAAGAAAAATGCCCATGCCCTGCTCTCTGATTAGCCGAGAGGGTTCAGACTTCTTCTGGCCAAACCAAAGCGTGACTTCTAACATTGTCTTCTTACAGTGAGGTTCAAATGTCACCACATGGTTGGAAAAGAAAAGTTTACTGACACCATGGTAACATTCTGACCATATGACCTCTGCAAGCACTCTGCTTGGCTAAGGAGCTGCTATATGAAGCAAAGCCTTGGATAATGGCAAATGATGAGAGGGGAAAACAGCTCACAGAGAAGATTGTTTCTACACAATGGGCATCGACTTCAGCATCTACTAAACGTCTCACCTCTGTTGCTGAGTTTAATATTAAGAGGTAGCTGGGTGGCCATTGTTATCAGGTTCTTATGCAGAATGTGCTCCGTGATTCTCTGCTGCTCCTCTGCAACCATCATCATCTTCTTTAGTGGTGGTTCACTGCTTTTGATTTTCTTCCTGTGTTCCAGAGCTGCCGACTGAGTCACTGCTGCCTGTACAGCCAAGGCTGCCTCATGATGGCTGGAGGGGGACAGGGAAAGGGCCACCCCACTGTGTAGGCACCTGGCCATCCTGTGGTTCTCTGGCGAACACAAAAAGAAACACAAATCAGAAAATTATATATATATAATGTTCTAGCAAATCCTCCCTCATTTGTTTTAAATTTGTCTTTTGATATATGTTCAGGTCCAAAGGAGTGGTTCCAAAGATTTTTGCTTTAGCCTACTGGAGAGGGGTGACTCGTGTGAACTAAATAACTACAGACCTATAGCAATAATTATTGCTAAATTTGAAAGAGATGATAGGAAGCAACCTGGACTATACGAAAGTAGCCTGCATTGCTGCAGCAACTGAGTTTGTGAGGCTCATTTTGTTCATGGTAAGTCCTTGCAACTACACATTTGTTGATTGGAGAAGATGTTTTTAAAAACATTCATCTTTGTGTATTTTAAACACACGGAGTCATGTTGTTTTCACATTTTGATTCTGGTGGATCAATCCGTGATCATTATAAAATAAATTAAGAAATAAATAAGGACACAGATTAAAGGCACTGTAATGAACATTGAAACAAGCTAGGCCCAGCTAGCTCAATGGGTATAATCCTTACACCGCGCCCCTCCAGATAAGTGAACGCACTTTGCCATGGTGAACAACAGAGAGCAGAACGCCTGTCGCAGTTCACGTGAATCAATATGGCAGAATGACCGGTAAGTGAAAAACTAAACAATATAAATGTCTAACATGAATAATTTATTTTAACTTATTCATATGGTAACAAAGTATGTTTCGAAATGTTTACTTAAGGATTATTTTCAGCTTCAAGCATAATAAATAGCACGGTAGTGTGAGAAAATAGTGACGACCCTCCCTCCTTTTAATTTATTTGATTTAATTTCATGTCACTAACCTTTTAAAAGTTCATTATAGCTCAACTTCTCCCTGTGAACTAATGTAGAGTGAAATATGTAGTAACAGTATTTCGCCACAAGGGGGAACAACGGACACAGAGAGTACTGCTGACTCAAGGTTCAACAATAATTCAGTGCTGTTTGGACTGTTGAAGACGCTGCTCAGTGCACTCTTGTCTGTGTTAACAGGTGAAAATGCACAAGTAACACAATAACAGCAACGAAGGAGATTGTTAAAAGTCCGGGTTAATGAGGGAAATGTTGGCCGTCCATCCCCGTGTGTTTGTTTTGTAAAATGTTAGTTTTATATGATAGCATGAGTAAGCTAGCAGCTAAGTTAACTTTAACCAGTTGTGCTAGGACTTATTGATGCTGCTATAAATGTTCTGTGCTTGAAAAGAGTGAGCTGTAACTGACTTATTTTTCTATTAAGGTCAGGCTAAGGATGTGAATGTTTATGCTAAGTTTTGTTAGCTATTCAGTGCTGTTTGACAGTTGAAGAAGACGCTGCTCATTGCGTTCTCATCTGTGTTAACACCCAAAATGGAATAAAACCCGTAACAACACACACTGACTTATTTATTCACTTGTGCAACAAATTTGGTGGCCCGTACGGGGATTCAGCTGTGCTTCAGGGAAGGCAAAGTGAGACTTTAGTACATCAGCCATGGAGTTGGAGCAACTGCAGGATAAGTTAAGTGAGGCCCTCTAGTGCAGTTGAAAGTGGACCAGCCATAGGAGGTGTGTTTATATGAAAAAGTCTCAACTGAAAATCAGACCAAAAACACGCTGATCAGTTTAGTAAGTGAAGTTCCTGATATTGCTGCTGAAAAGGCAGAAGAGGATGCGGCTTGTGAATTCCTCAACAGACTGATAGCAGGCAGATGCTAAAAATCTTAAGCCCCCTGACCCGGGAGCCGTGAACACTCAGGCAGACCAAGGCACCACACGCCGCACCAAGTGTGACAGGGGGAGGCGAAGATGTTTAGCATCAAAAGAAGTCCCATAAGAGGGGAGGAGTCAAAGACCCCACCTGACATGTACAGTCATACACAAACACAGTCACACACTCCCTCCCTCATGCTCACACATACACATACAACCGAAGACTCACAAAAATGCACGCCGGACACCCACTCATGCTCCCCATACACACCCTATTCATTCTGGTCCCGGTACTGCTGCACAAAGTGTACAACCGTCACCTGTTCCCAAAGTTCGACCCTTTCTGCTGGGGCACTGATGAGCAGACTCCCCCACCCAATGCCGAGCAAAGCGACCCACCACCCAGACGGCCAGATCCCCCTCCTTGCCTCCAGCCCTGGGAAGCCAAGCGACAAAAGAGGTGTGATAAGACCCCTAGTCACCCTCCGCCTGCTCCAATACAGTGTTGGTGCGTGTTGATGAGGTGTATTTGTGGCTGTGATGAGCGGGCAGTGCAGGCATCATCTGGCCTACACCAGCTGATGCCACCACACCACCCCTCTTCCCTCTGTGTCTAAGTGCAGATTAAAATTGGAAGTGGGCACCGGCACCTGGGATGAGGCTGAAAGATCCCCTTGCCAAATGCTGTTGAATGTGCTCACTCCCAAGGCCCTAAGTGTGTGTTTGCGTGGAATGTCGTTGGTGGAAGTGTTTAATGTGCAAATAAAATTGAGGGGCAGGTTGCCACAGGAATGCGGAAATGGTGTCCATACCCGCACCCCCTGACTTGTCCACCCCTCAAAGTCCTATGTGCATGATTGTGTGATGATGTGAGGGAGAAGGAAGAGAAAAATGTGTGGGGATGGGGAGGAATGGCTGGTTGGCTTGATCTGCCTGATTAATCCCAGTGGCTTCCTGGTGCGGTCTGAGTCCCTGGGCTCTGTTGGGTCCCCGGCGTGGCTGGTCACCGGGTTCCGGGCTCAGCCAGCTTGGGGGTGGGAGGCTGCGGGCAGGCCTGTGGGCTTGCCGCTGATATCCCCCGGGACTCTGCCAGCTGCTGGTTGTGGCCCCCCGGGTCAATCCTCTGCGCCTCTTGAGGGGGCGGGGGCTTTACTGATCGCAGTCTCCCTGGGGTCCCTGCGCTCTGGGGCAGCTCCTGAATCTCTGAGGCTTGGAGCTCCTTCCATCTCCTACACATCTTTGGGGGGCAGATCTGTGGCCCCTCACACTCTCTATTGGACGTTCCTATAGAGAAATCTTACATAAACAAGTGTGTGTACGCACACAGGCGCTCACATGGTGCTCACATAAGTATGGACTTGGGCACGTTCAACACATGTTGGCTGTGGTTGGCACTTAATGCACTGTGATTTATTATCGTGATTGTTCAGTAAAACAATGTTTTTATATTTCCTCATCAGGTTGACGCAGTGATAGCTTGCTCCTGTTGTATTGCTGTGTGTCCCTTTTTTGTTTGTTTTCTCTCTCCCTCTCCATCTGCAGGTCTAGAAGCTGACTCTTGTTCATCGTTGATTCTTTTAGTGAACTCCCCCCCCCCCCCTTTTTTTGTCTCTTCCTTTCTCTTTCACCTCTGTCTCCATGTCTGGTCGGAATTACAAGCATTCAAAAATGCTATAGCTACCCCTGGATTAGTCATTGCACCCCCAAGTAAATATTAGATTTTTTTTAACAATGAAATGTAAATTGAATGTGTGGATGTGATCAAATTTAGCATACAAAACAACAATAATCAGTCAGTTATCATATAGATAACCTTTGACCTCATTTTCCACCTGTGAACAAGTGAAAGGTAGAGCTAGTGGTAAAATGGATCGGGTTTTTGTTGCCCACATTTCCACGGATTCAGCCAGAAACGAATGAATCTTTGGAAGTGATCTCAGACCCACACAAACCTACGGATCTGGAGAGCCAACCCTCAACCGCCGCAGCAGTCGAGGGTTTTGCCGCTGATTTCATGGAAAAGTCAGCGATTGTTCATACATTTATGATGCATATTAATGATTGTTTCAGGTGTTGTTGAGGTTTTGTGCACACATGTGTATCTGCTAGTGTTGAAGGTGTTTTAGAGATCAATAGGTACGCATGACCACTTCCTTCATAGCACCCTCAATAAAAAGACTAGCTCCTTCATAGCACCTGCAGAAAATTTTTTCTGGAGCCGCCACTGGGCCAGAGAGACAAACTTTCCTATTCAAATCTGATGCACCAGATTGATATGGGACTTAAAAGAAATCTCAGTGAAGAGGAGATCATTGAAGCTGTGGTTAGAGCTATCAGTCCAGGTTTACCTCTTCGTGATATGCTAGAAATTAAAGCAGACCTCTCCATTGCCCACTTGCATACTATACTAAGAGGTCATTACAAAGAAGATAGCTCCACTGATCTGTACCATAACCTAATAAACATTACACAAGATAGTAGTGAGTCTCCACCAACTTGCTGTTCCGGGCAATAGAGTTAAAAGAAAGACTTCTTGCTTTATCCAGAGAGCCCGGCTCAGAAGCGGACTATGGCCCAGAACTGATTCAGAGGAAGTTTCTGAGAGCAGTGGGAGATCATATGCTAATAGCCAAGACAAATGAGGCTGCTAGCATGGAATGGGGAAGGCAACAGAAGTTCAGGAGGAGCAGCAAAGGCCTGAAAGTCGGGGAAGTAAGAGCAGAAACAAAACCAGTGTCATGCTCTGTGTCCCTGTGGTTCCCAGCCCCCTCCAGGTTTCCTCATGTTCCCCTTAGGCACTCACTACTTATTTAGTTTACCCATTTTCAGTATTAAGATCCCCTGTATTATATCTCCTCTTCCTTTGGTTCTGGTCTCTTTAAGTTCCTAGAGTTAGGGTTAGGGTATCTCCCTTTAGTTTGTTTTGTTTCCTCCCCTGCCCCGTTCTGCTCCTCCTCTCAGTTTTTGTGCACAATTCCCCAATCACCCAGTCCATGTGTATATAACCCTATCTTGTCTCTCAGTGTTTGTTGGTTTGGCGAGTTGTTAAAAAAATGAATGTGGTACAAAGGTCTTGGAATTATCTGGTTTTAGAGAATGGTCTGAATTTTGCTGTGAAAGATGAAGATAAAGTGGAATTGATGGCTAGTGAATTAGTCAAGGTTCATAGTGACTTCAATTTAAAGAATGATGAAAAATTGGAAAGCGATAAAACAAGAAAGTGTTATCAACATCTCTTGAATATTGTGGAGGATAGTGGAAATTGCATTAGTGCTTATTTTTCACTTGATGAGTTAAAAAATGCTGTAAATAAGACAAAAGTAACAACTCCAGGACAAGATGGGATCAGTTATGCAATGTTGAAGCATCTTAATGATTATTCCTTAAATACCTTGTTAATGTTCTCTAATAAAGTTTGGGAAAAGTGGAATATTCCGAATCTATGGAAATTATTCATTATTATTCCCATTAGAAAACCAGGGAAAGATCCTACAGTTGCGGTAAATTACAGACCCATTGCTCTATTGTCTCATATGGGGAAAATAATGGAAAGAATGATAGTAGATAGGTTAAATTTTTATGTAGAAACTAAAAATTTATTATCTCCATTTCAAAGTGGGTTTAGAAAGGGACGGTCAACCATGGATCCCATAATTAAGTTAAAAAATTATATAAGGAAAGCTCAATCTAGTAGGGAAGTAATTGTGGCTGTCTTTTTTTATAGGGAGAAAGCTTATGATATGATATGGAAAGATGGAATTTTAAATAAGGTTAGACAAATGGGAGTGTATGGCAAACTGTATAACTGGATTACAAACTTTCTCGATAATAGAAAAATTCAAGTTAGGATTAATGAGTGTCTTTCTGAATGTTTATGTGTTGATAATGGAGTGCCTCAGGGAAGTGTTATCTCTCCTATTTTCTTCTCAATTATGATAAATGATATGTTTGATTATATTGAGTGTAATATAGTAGGGCTGCAGCTATCGAATATTTTTGTAATTGAGTACTCTATCGAATATTTTATCGATTAATTGAGTACTCTAATAAATTACTCTTTTGCGTTTTTAAACCATTATATCAAATAGCATGTTATAAAATATGAAAGACCTCTTGAAATGAGAAAGCAATTGCCAGTTATTCTTCAAGTTTTATTCAAAATTAGTTTTCAAAACTTCAGCACTTCAACTTTACTTCACAGTAAACAAATGCGAGCGGCTGCGGCCCAAAGAGAACCAGAACCATTCAAGGCGCATGCGCAAACATGGCTCGCCAGCTGTTTCCCTATTAACACACGTCCGTTTTAATTTCTACACTTTTTTTGTCTCACACTAACAAGGATTGTCGAAAGCACGTTTGCCGTGGTTAAGTCAAGTTATTCTGATCACACAATATTAATTTACTTCCTTTCATTTTCCTCCGTCACTCATAAATACCCGTGTCCTCCTGCAGCAATCCCGAGGGACAACAGACATCAATAATAACACAATAAAAAGTCCGGCGTGTTGTAAAAACTGCTATTTTTAGCACATTTTAAGATCGACGTGTTGCTACCAGACGTACGGTGTGAGCTGAAACCAAGTACTACAAATGAAAAAGTGGCACAGTGTCTGCAGAATATATAGAAATACAGGCTAAAATGCATTATCTTGTAGAGGCTCCGAGTCCGCTTGCAGAAGTGACATTTACATGTGGATGTTTCCTGGTCAGGCGCTGCTGCATCGAGGAATGTGTTGTGGTAGGCTAAATCCATTTTACAGTATTTACACTGGAGTATGTTTTCCGCCTTACGACATGAAAAATGGTCCCACGCCTTTGACATTTTCTGTCTTTTTCTCACTCCACCGGGGTCCACGTTGTCCGCCATGGCTTGAGAGAAAGTTAAGTTACATTCGCTACTCACGTGTGCGTTCAGTGCAGTGTGTATGTGCGTCACTTATTTCGGTCCGGGTGAAACATGACCCTGGGTGATTGCAAAGCCATGAATTAATTAAACATGAATTAAACGAAGCCTCGAGGCAGAGAATTTGACTCGAGGATTTTTTGTACTCGAATTATTCGAGGTACTCGAGGAATCGTTTCAGCCCTATAATATAGGTAAGTCTTTATTTGCAGATGATGGGGCTCTTTGGAAAAAATATTAAATTCACAGTTAAAAGTTAACAAAAAGCAATAGATACAGTTGAAAAATGGACCTGTAAATGGGGGTTTAGGTTTTCTGTAGAAAAAACAAAAGGTTGCATTTTTTTTCACTTAGGAAAATAGAAGACGGTTTTACATTTCAGATGTATGGCAGAGATCTTGAAAGAGTAAGTTGTATAAGGTTTCTGGGTATGCATTTTGATCATAGTCTTAATTGGCATTATCATATCGATAAACTAGTAGATAAGTGTAAAAATGTTTTGAATATAATCAGATGTTTGTGTAGTAAGGAATGGGGAGCGGCCATAGTTGCTATGAAAAGACTGTATACTGGGTTGATTAGATCTGTTATTGATTATGGGTGTCTTGCATATGCATCTGCAGCGAAATCAAGATTTAAAAAGCTGGATGTTATTCAGGGAGCTGTCAGACTTTGTTTAGGTGCAATGGGATCCTCCCCGACATGTGCACTCTAAATTGAAGCAGGTGAAATGCCTTTAGAGCCAAGGAGATTACAGATATCATTGTGATATTTTGCCTATTTGAAAGGGAGCAAAGGTGATCATCCAACTAGAAATGTTCTTATTCCAACATGGTATTGGTTGAAAGGGAAAATAGAACCATTCGGTATGAATGTGCAGGACAATGCTGAGATGGCTGGAGTAGGTAACCTTGTGCTTGGTCCATCTGTTCTTCATCCGCCATATCCTCCATGGCTGATGCCGGTACCAGATGTAGATACAAGCCTACATGAAAAGATTAGAAAGAGTAAAGGGGACAGTGGTCAACTTGCTATGAGATATGTGGATAATTATTGTGGATATATTCAAATTTTTACTGATGGATCAAAACCCGAGTGCCGGTGCCCACTTCCAATTTTAAACTGCACTTAGACACTGAGGGCTGTGTGTGCAAGTGGGGTAGTGTGGTGGCATCAGCTTGCGTAGGCCAAACGATGCCCGCACTGCCCACTCACCACAGCCATGGAATACACCTCATCAACACGCACTAACACTTTATTGGAGCAGGCAGAGGGAGTCTAGGGGTCTTAGCCCACCTCTGTTGTCACTTGGCTTCCCCTGGCTGGAGGCTAGGAGGGAGATCTGGCCATCTGGTTGGGGTCTGGGTTGGTGGGTTGCTTTGCTCAGCGTTGGGCGGGGGAGCCTGCTCATCAGCACCCCAGCAGAAAGAGTCGAACTCTGGTAACCGGTAATGGTTGTACCCCATGTGCAGCAGTACCGGGACCAGAGTGAATAGGGTGTGTATGGGGAGCATGAGTGGATGTCCGGTGTGCATTTTTGTAAGTCTTTGGTTGTATGTGTATGTGTGAGCATGAGGGAGGGAGTGTGCGACTGTGTCTGTGTATGACTGTGTATGTCAGGTGGGGCCTTTGACTCCTTCCCTCTCCTGGGACTTCTTTTGATGCTATACAACTTTGTCTCCCCTCCCCCTGCCACACCTGGTGTGGAGTGTGGTGCCTTGGGCCCTGTCCACACGTAGCCGGGGATCTGCCAAAACGTAGATATTTTTCTACGTTTTGGCCTGTCATCCACACGAAAACGAAGTTTTTTCACATGAAAACGGATCTTTTTAAAAACTCCGGCCAAAGTGAAGATCTGCGTTTTCTCCGTTTTGGGTGTCTGCGTGTGGACAGACAAAACCGGAGTTTTAAGGTCCGCAACGTCACTTTCCGCGACAAAAAAATGCTGACATCACGTGTGCGACCTGTGTTTACACTAGCCGACAGCATGGATGCCCTCAGAGCTGCGCTCGCTTTATCAATTGTCCAAGTGCTTTTTGCGTGTTTGTTTTTGCAAGCAGAATTACTGCTCCTTGCAGAAGACCACAGACGAAGGACGAGGTTAAGAACAGCTATTGCCCGGCACCTGGCTTCTCCAAGTACTGCTGCCTACAGGTCTGGCATGTCCTAAACAACGTATATATCCGGGTACGTGTGGACAGTTTTTTTTAAACGAAGTGGTGTGGATGCAAGTTTTGGAGGGACGGATATTCGTTTTTAAAAAAAACCCGGCTACATGTGGAGTAGGCCTTGATCTGCCTTAGTGTTCGTGGCTCCCAGGTCAGGGAGTTTAAGATTTTTGGCGTCTGCCTGATAGATCCCGGTGGCTGCCTGGTGGGATCTGGGTCCCTGGGCTCTACTGCATCCCCGGCGGGGGTGGTCGCCCCTGGGTCCTGGGTTGCTGGGTCCCGGACTCGGCCGGCTGGGGGGTGGGAGGCTGCGGGCGGGCCTGTGGGCTTGCCGCTGATATCTCCCGGGACTCTGCCGGCTGCTGGTTGTGGCCCCCCAGGGCGATCCTCTGCACCTCTCGAGAGGGGCAGAGGATTTTCTGGTGGCGGTCTCCTTGGGGTCCCTGTGGTCTGGGGCAACTCCTGGATCTCTGGGACTTGGAGCTCCCTCCATCTCCTATGCATCTTTGGGGGGCAGATCTGTGGCCCCTCACACTCTCTATTGGACGCTCCAATAGAGAAACCTTACATATACAACCGCGTGTAAGTTTCTTGTAAGTCGGTAAAAAAGTTAGTGTCTGGATCTACATTGTTTCCCATATCATGGTCTTTGTACTCAGTGAATTGCTGGGTTTCTATCCTTAAGTGTACATGATCAAAATTGGATGGTCCTTGTGATTCACAGTTGTCAGTTTGAGACGTCTCACTAGTCTTGTAACATAGCATTTATTGAATACATGTTTGGTACCATGTCATTCTCATCACTTTGTACTTGTCCAGTTCAGTAATGACTTTGATGAGGAGTATCTTTGCCTGCTCAGGTGAACCATTCAGTTTAATAAATATTTGGCAGTTGTTTGACCATGTTGATTGTATCTTTCCGTCTTTCTTCAGGATCTGGGCCTGTCTTGCAATTTCAGCATTCTTACGAGTCAAATGTTCATTGACGAATACATTTGTACCTCTTAATTTTTTACCTTGTCTGAGCACTGACAGTTTGTGTTTCGTGTTTACAAATCTGATTATTAAGGCCGGCTTCATGTTTTTGTTTTTCTTAAGTAAGGGAAGACAAGCTTCAATGTCTTGGTTCCTTACATTTATCCCTTCACTGCAAAGGAAGTTAACCACCTGCTGCTCAAAAGAGTCCAGGGGCCTCATTCATCAAGCTTGCTTACGCACAAAACAGGGTCGGAAAACTGCGTAAGCAACTTTCCACGCAAACTTTGGGATCTATGAAAGAAAACTTAGCGGAAAAATGTGCGCAACTTTAAGTTGATTAAGGACCTGGCTTACACACATGTTGGACATGGAGAGCACCTGCAGTGCTGCTGCTGAGAAGGATAAAATTATGAAATCCGGCAGCATTATCACTTGTACTGCTTCGTTTTCACACAGAACAAGACCCCCCACACGCACAAATATGCACGCACACACACGTGCGCACATTCACACACACACACGCACGTGCACATACACACACACACAGCCTGAAGCGCAGAATACGGAATGCAGAAAGTCGGCAGGGAGACAGATTGAGACAGAATGTCATGCAGCCTTTGTGACAGTGTGTCCTGTCACTGTGACCCTATTGATCATGCGCCCTGGCTACTTCGACGAGGAAGATCTCCGTTTGGCTGACTAGTTAGCACGCGTGACTTTCACCTGGGAGTCTGGGGATCGAATCCTTATCGGATAATTTTCTTTATATCCACCACAGATCTCTCTAAAGAAGTCAGCATTGACGGCTTCAGCAACGTTGTGCCACTCCGGATTTTCTCTTATTTGTTTTGCAAAAGCACTTCCTTTCATTTCTCCACCTCACCCACAAGTACGTTAATTTCTGCTTGTGAAATAGCGCTTCCTTGATCTGCGGTCGTGATCGAAATGCTGCAACAAGCCGGCTTATGTATATGCATGAGATCCACAAGGCACTTTGCAATGACTATTTATGGCAATAAGTGGGCGTGTTGAGGGCGGGATGTGACTAAAAAGCAGCTGAGAACATTTGTAGATAATTTCTGATTTATAAAGCAGAGATTGGGTGCAGCTGTGCGTACTCCATGTTTGATAGATCACGAACCTATAGCATAAGTAAATTTTTTTGCTGAGCTTAAGTACGTTTTAGTAAGGATTCTACACAATGTTTGATAAATAAGACCCCTGTTCTTGTTCAGTTGGCACTTCGTCTGGATTAACAGCTCTGGCATTAGACCGAGGCTTAGTTTCCAGACCACTGACAGAGAGGTCGTTTATTCGTTGATATTGGTCTAAGTCATCCACTCGAGCTTCCAAGAATGACATTTTTTGTCCTGTTCTGTGGTTATTCTCTTTAACAGTTTGATTTCATCCATTAGGTTCACAATCAGTATTTGTTGTTTAGATATGTTTGTCACTTCATCTGTTAGAAAATTCAGAGACTTTTTAATGTCCTCTAACTCTTCCTCATTCATCAAGTGTCTTTTCTTAGGCCTCATTTGGCCTATTAATATGTATAACCAGATCCAGACTCCCAACTGGTGGGCCTACCTTGTAGTTGTTAAGTATTAGCACAGCACCTGGGGTTAGACCTCCTAGATTCCAATGTTGAGTCTGTTAGCTCCTGATGTTGGTAATTTGATCTAGCCCAATGGCTTATACAGGAGCCTGATTTCCGGAACACACACTTTCCCGTGTTTTCGGTGAAAGGCAGCCGACTTAACTCATCAGATTTTAGCTAGCAGCAAACAAGCTACAAAAACTCTGCGTGAACTGAGCGTTTATAGTCTGCAGTTATTGCGAGACTTGTAATGTATTCACAACGTACCAACACAGCCGCTCAGAAAAAGGCAGCCACTAAATAACCGAGTTTTACTATTTTATAGGGCGAACGCTTCCTGGGACTAAACGACTTAAAAATTAAGACGTGACCTAATAAAATTTAAGATGTCTGGACAAAAATCCAGACTTTTTTTTTGTATTTTTAAGGCCTTAAATTTAAATTTATGAATTTTAGACTTTTTAAGACCCTGCAGGAACGCTGTGTGATGTACTGCTTGTTTTCAGTTTCTTTACACTCATTATACCATCAACATGTCTGTGCGCATCCCAGAATGTAACGCATAATCACGTGTGATCCCGAGCCCTTCTGAAGTGCTGCTTATTTTTCTTGTCTTTCCTCATCTTTTACAGATTAGTCTCCACCAATATTTACAGATCCCATCACATTGATGTAATAATTGTCCCGGGGTGGGATGGTGGGTGGTACAGCCAATACACTCATTCCGGTTATGGACAGCTCAAGAGCTGTTTCAAGTGCGACCGACACATCACTGATGCGGCTGCCTGTCACATAGCCTGACATCTGCTGCACTTTGCAACGTTTTGTGAGTGGTTACTTTTAATAAATTGTCAATTTTTTCAACCGCATTATAATAACGAAGTAACGCGCCACTTTACAGTAACAGCAATGGCGTTGCAACAATGGGAAAAGTAACTACTGGTAATTAGATTACCTAAAAGAACAATGCCATTAGTAACGTTGTTAAACTTAAGCGCCGTTACTCCCAACACTGATCACACCTGTTCCCTGTCTTCACTCACCTCCTCAGTCTATTTAAACCCCACCCAGTCTTTCACTCATTGTTGGATCCTTGTATGTTTGTTCCTCGCTCCCTGTGCTCGTGTGCTCCTGGAGCTCCTGCTTTACTACCAATAAAAGGATTTTAACTGCTTCAACTGTCTGCCTCCTGTATTACTGTATTTGGGTCCGACAACATCCACCATTTTCCTGACAGTTTTTATTTAAGAGGAGGTTTAAAGAAAATACAGGTTAAAATGGCAAAAGAAACACATTTCACATTCAAAGGTTAAACATCAGATGGAGTAGGGGCTGGACTCATGTCCCAGAGGGGAGACCAAAGGCACCATTACCTTTCTTGACCACGGGGGCCTGGGAGAAAGGGCTGCTGCTGTGAGCTGGTGTGGGGACATGTGGCTGTATCTTTGGAGTGGAAAGGCCTGATGGAGTGTAGCTGAAGATGACTGAGCCATAGTTCTGCTTCCGGCCTTCACGACGGTTGCTATCGATTGCTGCTTGAAGCTCATCAGGAGAACTCAGTCCACGTTTCTCACATTCATAAGGATAGAGGTACTTCATATACCTGCAAAGAAGGAAATAGGGTTTCTCAGCTGATTCTCATCACTGGGTCTGTTTGATACGTTTCCTTCCCATTATAACACAAAATTAAATTTCTAGTTCAGCGGTTTTATTATAAACACAAATAACGTATCATGTCTCCTCTGACTGCAGTTTTAGTGGGTTAAAATAAGACAAGGAGGTGTAGCGATGAAAGATTTTAGAAAAAGATTGAATTGTGTAGCAGTGAGGAGTAGCTACATTTATTAAATGGTCAATAAGATGTGTTATTCCATATAAATATGAATTATCAATCTGATTGGTCTTTGAATGTTTGATTAAATATTATTCTAGGTTCTTTGACTATTCGGGGAAACACACACTTCATATTAATTCAGACAGAGTCAAGTATATAGTTATAAAAATGAATTTTATTCTATTTTTCTAAACTAATGTTTATACAGGACAACTTATGAATGAAATGGTGGATTGTAAGCTAGATGTTTATAGCAAAACCTTGTAAGTATCTGAGTATTGTGATGTCTGGGTTGCAAAATCAGTTTGGCTGTGTAACGTACCCAAAGGCCAAGTATTTACATCAAAAGTGACTAGAAATTACCTTTTGTTCATAAATTCCAGACAAATCAGAATCTGGCACATTTAAAAGGGTGTAAACAAAGTCCTCAGAAAGTCACTCCTTCACTCAGATACCCAGAGAGGTTAACTCTCAGTGTGAAGTGAATATGTTATTACACATGTATGTGAAGTGAATGTTAAAAGTAAATTCAACTATTATTACGAGGTTTGAATATACTGAGAATAATTGCTGAATATTAATCTTAATATTTTGGTACGCTACAGCTGAAATCATTTTTGTCGCAGAAATTGAAATTTCAAGTTGATGCAAGATTTTCTTCAAATCATAGTTCAGCAATGTGCAGCTTGTAATTTTTATCTAGAGAGATGCAAAAAATGCTTTTTCTTGTTCTACTTTAATAATGTAAGGAGAAAAACTGAAGGTAAGAATTGTTTTCAAATGTATACATTTTAAATAAAAACATGTTTTTCTAGATGGCGTGATTGTTTTTGTGAAACAAAAACACCACCCCAACACCGAACTCTGACACATTTTACATAATTTTTGGGATTACAATAAATCTCTGCAATGGTTTTTAAAAGAAGAGAGGTTTCAGGTTCAATAAGTGTTATTACCGAAAATCCTAATCTGCTGTTGGTGAAGCCCTGTCCGGACGGACTACCATTCACACTTCTGTTTTTGTGCGGAACATCTCCAGATATTCGCTCCGACAAAAACACCAAATTATTAGAAATCTGACATGATACATTTAATAATATACTTATAAAACATAACATGAACTATCGTTCACTGTGAACCGATATCCCAATCATTAATGATAAAACTAAAGCCAGCAAAAATAATGAGACCAGGGTTTCAGCTTGAAATATACCGGATGTACCTCGCTGAAACACCTTTCACTTTAGGCCGTGCGATAATCCGCATCCCTGAAAAATAGACTCCATTCAAGAACATTCTGGAGCTCCTCTGTTCAGGATGAGCTGGCCGTTTTTACTCACTGTGTCCTCAGAGTGAAAGCTGCACTGGTAATAGAGGTAGGGAGGTTGAGGCCTTTGGTAATCTCACGCCATATCTTTTTATTGATGACTTCTACTAAGCCGCCTTTTTCTGTGACAAGCTTGTAGAGATTGTAGAGGTCCAACACCTGCTTCGCCATGATAGGAATCCGATTCACCGGAGTCCCTGCATTAAACAAACACAATATCCAAAATCAATTCCACTAACTTTGGTTCCTCTCATCAATAAGCTTCTGCATCTTCCTACAATGCTAATCTCAAGCCAGTCAACTGTCTCAGCTGTGTTAAAGGCACAGAACATAATGATCAACAAAGGTTTCTATCGTCTAAAATACATCAGAAGAAAGTAAAAAAATAATAATTTTATATATATATGTATATTGTATTTTATTTTATTTATTTATTTAGGTGTGGGTGTTCATCATTGCTGTTTATTGCTGAAGAAACTGTGGAAAACAATATGAATTGTATGTACTAGCAGTGGGTTACCGAATGTCTAAATGAAAGCAAACTGTTTCTTAACAAATTATTCCTGAGTTGTTCAAAACTTTAAAAATACAAAAAGCACTTATTGGACAAAAATGGGGCTTTGATGATTTCTATTCACACTTTAGTGCAGCAAATATAGAGAGAAAGCCAGTTCTTTGACATGTCCTAAGTTGCTGACCCTCACATAATTAACCTACATCTGCTGACAGAGTTCCATTGTGGCCATTGGATTTACCATAATAGCAATCAATAGCTGCAGATATATGGTGCAAACAACAGCAGAGGAACCTTTACAGTGAAAAAGGAAGCTCTAAGGAATTGTCTGAGATGGTAAAACAACATCAATTAAAGTCAGTAGTCAAAGTTTCATTTTACCGTGATGGCAAGTGAATGATAAGGCTTTATTAAACATGAGACAGATGTCCTCGTCTCCAGCAGTACATCACCTCTAACTGGAGGTACAGCACAAGCTGAGATGAGGGTAGAATGGTTTCCACGGGTACAGCAGAGTCTCTCAGGTCTCTCTGTGTGATTCACACCATTAGGCCAGCGTGCAGTGTTGCCAACTGTTTTTGACTGAAAGTAGCTGAAGTTCCCCCCCAAAGTCGCTAGATGTCGCCAGATGACGTCACATGCTAATTTACATATTGATTGCGTCATCACTCCACATTGGCGTTCATTTTCATTTTCCCCATAGCATGGGAAATGTTTTAGTTTTATATATATATATATATATATATATATATATATATATATATATATATATATATATATAGGACTAAAAGGGAGGGAAATAAAAACTATGTTATGTGTTAATGTTATTAATTAGTATGATTAAAATGGCCCAAATTGCTTTCATATGTACAATAAATTGCAAAACTACCAATAAAGTGGCATTAAGACAGATATGGTGTGGTGATCCAAACAGTTCTGTTGTAGGATATAACTCAGACCTCCTGCTCTCCTCATTCTCTCAGACATTTTCCTAAAAAGCAGTTTTTTTTACACCTCATAGTTTCTTAACTTCTCTGTTGAGTATTCCCTCCATTGTGATAATAACGGCACACTGAGCAAAAGGGAGCGGGTGTCTCATAGTACAACCATCCCTGTGTCACTGAAGGAAATTCAGATGAGCCACAGAGCTGCGTGTGTAAACGGGGCGGTAGTTGAATCTCCCGATGACTGTATTTGCCAAATGCAGGAAAAGAAAAAGTGTCTGACAGCTGCAGAACCAGAGAGTGCAGGTTGACGCCTGTGCCATCTCTAGTAGAAGAGTGAGGCTGCAGCAGCAGAAGTACATTGGCGTACATTCAGCTGTACCTTTGTCTTCGGCGAATCGGCCCGGCCGAAAACGGTCAATGATTGGTCAGTCCTCATGCACATGTGCAGATTATGGCTCTATTTCGTCTAGTCTTTGCCCTTAAGCTAGCTGCTATTGGAAGGATGATCTCACCATCAGCCAATCATGAAGAACTTAAATGTACGCCCACCAATGGTGGGCACCCCTTGTGGGTATGTAAGTGGAGCGACTCCACTGTTCGCCTCCGTTTTCTCTTCAAGCCAAGCTTAAGAGCTTTCTTTAAAGAGCAAATTATCGAAGAAACAACATTCAACTCACCAGCCATGTCCAGCGACGCCAGGACCTGCCCGGCCTGCCAGGTGGGCTCCATCTCCAGCGGCGACCTGCACGCCAAGTGTGAGGTCTGTCTCGGGGCTCATCATGCTGGCCTGGTCTTGACCCCCCAGGCCTCGTGCCCGTTTTGTGCCGCTCTGCCCGTGGCTGAAAAAGTCCGCCGGGTCGAGTGCTTCACCCCCACCACCGACGAGGAAATTCTGGTGGCTGGCACGTACTCGCTGGACAAGGCCTTTCAGTTCTTCGTCGTCGGTCAGGAGCCGGCTGGCTCCTCCCGACTGGACGATGTCATCGACAGTGAGGAGTACGACGAGGCTGGCTGCCATAGCCCTTTATCCCTCCTGTACAACACGGAGGTCGACGAGCCTCGTGAGGAGTACGACGAGGCTGGCTGCCATAGCCCTTTTTCCCTCCTGTACAGCACGGAGGTCACGAGGCTGGCTGCCATAGCCCTTTTTCCCTCCTGTACAACACGGAGGTCAACGAGCCTCGCTCAGCGGGTCCTCCTGCCCCAGTGGCTTCTAGCTCCTCCCTGCCAGCAGTTAGAGCACTGCTCCAGGAGCTGCCCGCCATCATCTCCGCGGTCCGCAAGGGGCTAGCCATTCCAGAACTGGCTCCGCCTGAGGCAGATGATTTGGCAGGAATTATTGGGTCAACACAGACGCGCTGTCCAGACCCCGTCTGGCCGCGTTTCCCGCTGCCATGAGCTGCTGGTCCGCCGCCTTCTCCGAGCCTGCTAGGCTTAAGGCACCAATTTCCACATATGCGCCCATTACCAAGGTCGAGGGCTTCTCCGACCTGGGCTGGCCATCCGTTCCTCCACTGGAGCCAGACTTGGCCTCGCTGTGTGGCGCCGAGAACCACCTCGCAGGCTCGCGAGCAGTTCCTGCTTCTAAGCATGACCAGCTGCTGACGCGGCTGACCGATCAAGCAAACCAGTGCGCCTTCCAGACCGGCGCTGCAGGAAATAACATCGCCCTTCTTGCCTTTGGTGTTTCCAAAATGGTGGAAGAGCTTGATGTTCCTGATGAGTCGAAAACCATCATTACTAAAACTGCTGATTCCATTCTCAATCTGTGCGCTGCTGTACTCACCAGTTCTGCTCGCATTGCTGCCTGGCAGACCCTTATCCAGCGGGCCTTGTGGCTCAAGGCCTTGCCCTCCATTCCTGATCACCTGCACAGGGCGATGCTGGAAGGCCCCATCACATCTGACGTTCTGTTTGGTCCCCATCTTAGGAGCGTCATCAAGAGGGCTCAGAAGGCGGCTGAACTGTCAGCCATGGTGCGAGACCTGGACCACCCTCAGTCAGCCTCGCACTCCGGCCGTTCCTCCAGAGGATGGGACGAACGGCGCGGAAACTTCAGGCGCCCAGCTGCACCGCCCGCCCCGCGGAGCCAGCCTCCCGCTTTGGCTCCACCTCAGCGGGACCAGGGAGTTGGCGGCCAACAGTTTCGAAAGAGCCAGCAGACACTGTCTTGGCAGTCACAGGTGCAGGAACCTCGCCAAAAGCAACCACGAAAACGACTCGTTTTGAGGAATGTGTGTGCTTATGACTGTAATGTTAACTCTGTGAATGATTTTGGTTTTGAAATAAAACCTAAAAAACGTCACATTGAGAGCACAATCCTACAGTCCTCTGCAGAACCCTCTGCCGAATCCTCACACATGTTCCCCACACCAAGCACTGCGACACATCTGCATGTTCCCGCAGTCCGTCATGTTACACGGCCAGCTGTAAGGGTGCACTCCATTTGCGCACCGGCCCCAGCCTCCTGCCAGGGCCAACTCATCCCGCTTCCCCCACAACGTTGGGTGGGACGGGATGTTATGGCGCTGTCGCGACCACGCGCGGCGACACGGTGCGCAGCTCCATCTGCTGGCACTTTGTCGTCCCCGTGCATGGGCCCGGCTCCCACTCGTCCATCCTTGGACTCCACGCTCCGCGGTGCGGATCAGCCTCTTCCAGCTGTTTACACTCGCCCTTTCGAGCACAGCCCTCCATGGGTCGCTGCCAGTTCTCTGGTGCGAGCGACGGCGGTAAGGGCAAGAACCCAGTCCTCGGACGTCGTTCACGTGACCTCGAACACGCGTCCGCTGTCAGAACACGCTGAAGAATGGCGCCGCCTTTGCCCCATGAGAAAATGGATATCGGACACCATTCATTACGGTCACACACTCCATTTTGAGTCCGCTCCTCCTCCCTTCAACGGGATCGTGGAGATGACGTTCACGTCACAGGTACAATCTCAGGCCCTGGAGCAAGAGCTGCGGGAACTTCTGTCCAAGGACGCAATTTGCCAAGTCCCTCGCGGACGAGAGCTCTCAGGCTTCTACTCCCACTACTTCGTAGTACCGAAGAAGTCGGGAGGAATGAGACCAATTCTCGACCTTTCCCTGTTCAACTGCTCCATAGCAGTGATGCATTTCCGCATGTTAACAATGAGGCAAGTCCTGGAATACGTGCGCTCCGGGGACTGGTTCACGTCAATAGACCTGAAAGACGCATACTTCCACATACCAGTAATTCCCAAACACTGGAAGTTCCTGCGCTTCTCCTTCAAGGGAGTTCAATGCCAGTTCAATCATCTCCCTTTCGGCTACTCGCTAGCCCCGCACACCTTCTCCAAATGTCTGGAGACCGCGCTACAGCCACTGCGCACGGCGGGAATGAGGGTTTTATTTTACCTGGACGATCTGCTCCTATGCGCCCGGTCCAAGGATGTGGCGTCAGAGCAAACCAGGAAGTTAATAGAGCATCTGTCAACCCTGGGGTTTTCCATAAACTGGGAGAATAGCTCCGTCGATTGTGTTTCTCGGGGTGGAGCTGAACGCCTCTCTACTGAGAGCACGTTTGTCTCCGGCGGGAGTGGCAGATCTCACCACGGTGATATCCTGCGTGCAACCCCGCAAGATCATGAGAGCCCTGTTAGTCATGAAACATCTGGGCATGATGGCTGCAGCCCACGCTGTGGTGCCGCTAGGTTTACTGCACACGAGGCGCCTGCGAGGCGCCTGCAGCGTTGGTTCATCCGCCTCCGGGT